AATATGACTGTCATAAATATAAAGGGAAGGGTAACAACCTTTATGTATGCAGTAACATAAAATCCCTCTTGGCCAGAGGTACAGAATCACTTACCTGTAAGGGGTTAATCAGTTCAATTAACTTAGTTGGTACCTGACTAGAAGGACCAATGGGGAAAGAAGATACTTTCAAATCTGGGTGGGGGAAAGATTTTGTATGTGCTCTCTTTGTTTGTTCCCTCTCGGGAAAAACAGAGAGAGAGAGACCAGACAGGTAAACCAGCTCCTAAAAAGATAACCCGAAATGATACATCTAAAATTACAGAAATTGTAAGTAAAGGCAAGGAAATGTGTTAGTTTATCTTTTGTTTTAGCTTGTGAATTTTCCCTATGTTTTTGTCACTTTAAAGTTGAGCCTAGAGGGGAGTCCTCTGTGTTCTAAATCTTTTATTACTCTGTAAATTTACCTTCCATCCTGATTTTGCAGGTGTGATTCTTTTACTTTTTTCTTTATAATAAAGTTCTTCTTTTAAGAACCTGATTGATTTTTAGTGTCCTAAAAACCAAAGGGTTTGGTCTGTGCTCACTTTGCAAACCTATTGGTTAGTATATTATTCTCAAGCCTCCCCAGGAAAAGCGGTGAAGGGGCTTGGGGGAATATTTTGGGGAAATAGGGACTCCAAGTGGTCTTTTTCCTGAATCTTTGTCTAAATCACTTGGTGGTGGCAGCAATACCATCCAAGGACAAGGAAAGGATTTGTGCCTTGGGGAAGGTTTTAACTAAGCTGGTACTTATAAGCTTAGGGGGTCTTTCATGCGGGTCCCCACATCTGTACCCCAGAGTTCAGAGTGGGGAGGGAACCCTGACAATGACCATAAGCAAGTGTAGTAGAAAGAGAGAGCCTGAAGCATGGGCCTCGTGCAAGGCTTAAGGCCTGAACCAAAGTCAGCAAAAGTTATGCTATGAGCAACAGTCAGGCCCTGTCAAAAGCAGATGCTTGCCTGCAAGTCAGTGTCCGGTACACGAATTCAGCACCAGTATTGCTAGCATTGCTAAAACACACTGAATATGTAAACACATTCCAGCAGGCGAGCACAAGAACACCCCAACCTAGCACAGGATAAAATGGTTTGACAAAAGTGATGAATAGTGCTATTTTGTCTGAAACATCATGAATAAAAGTACAAAGACAGGTGGTGAATAGGGATATTTTGTCTGAAACATCAGGAGGAAAGTACAAGGGGAGGTAACAAACATGCCATGAAAAGTGTAAGGTGATACGTAAGCTGTTTATTCTAGACTGTTTGTATCAGTCTATAAATGTCGGGATACCTCGCCTTCACCCTTTGTAGGGGGCAGTGGAAAGTCCTGCCACTGACTGAGCTGCATCCATTATCACAGGCCTACCTGTGCTAGTGTAACTGTAAACATTGATCTGGGGAGCGAGGACCATGCTTCGTCGGCAATAAACCTGACCGAGTTCCTTTGCTGCTAAAATGGGTTTTGTGGTCTTATTGGGCAGTTCAATCAAGGTCTGCTGTACAGGCTATCTGGCCAGATCCAGTGCAGCACGCAGAAACAACACACGCTCTTTTCAAGTAATAAAAATGAGGCACAGGCAGAGAGGTGGCAAAAGAGGAGGTATTCAAACAAACTGGTACCTTTAATAGCAACAAGTCGTCAGGACAGATGTTATTCATCCTTAAGTTCTGAGAACTAATATACAGAATTTTGGACTTTCAAAAAGCCACTGGCAAAATCCGATTAATAATACCGATTAGTTATGGGGTGAGAGTCAAAGTTCTGACACTATTAGCTGAGAGGAAAAAAACAAAGCAGGAATAAATGGTCAATTTTCAACAAGGCAAAAGGTTAGCACTGGAGTACCCTTACAATCCAAGGTATCTGGAGAAGGGCATGAACAGTGAAGTAGCAAAATTTACAAAAGATAAAAAGTTTTTTAGGTTAGTTATGACTAGATAAGACTGTGGGGAACTCCAGAGGGACCTAAAAAATCTAGGTGATTGGGGAGCATGATATCAGATAAAATTTACTGCTGACAAATACAATGTAATGCATATTGGAAGAAATAATCTGATCTACTCATATACATTATAACTGCAGCCACTCAAGAAAAAGGCTTGGCTGTCATTGTGGACAAAATCAGTGAAAACCTCAGCTCAATATGCAGAAATGGTCAAAAAAGCAAGCAAAATGTTAGGAGAATGGAATAGAAAGTATTTTAATGCTGTTATATAAAGTAATGGTATAACTGTGGTCAGTGCAGGTCACGCCATCTCAAAACAAGATATAGCAGCAGTAGTCAGAGATAGGCAATGAAATTATTAAAGGAACTCATTGCCATGTGATTTCATTGTGGTTAAGACATTTCAGGGCCGCCCAGAGGATTCAGGGGGCATCGGGCAAAGCAATTTCGGGGGCCCCTTCCATAAAAAAAAGTTGCAATACTATAGAATACTATATTCTTGTGGGGGCCCCTATGGGGCTCAGGGCCTGGGGCAAATTGCCCCACTTGCTCCTCCCCCGCCCCCCCCACCGGCAGCCCTGAGACATTTACAGGATTCAAAGAGGATTTATATGGCATTTATTACATATATTACATTTATATGGTGGGAACATCCATGGTAATATTAAAAGGGGTAAAAACCCCTCCTGCTTCCAGGCATAAGCCAATCAGTCATTGACAGGGTTTAAGAAGAAACTTCCCATATTGTGAAATCCTTCCATAATGATCTATTAAAAGAATTCTAGCATTTTCTCCTGAAGCATCTGATACTACCCACTGTCAAAGACAGGATCTGACCCTCTTTTCCCTGCCCTTGACGCATGCCTTACGTGGGGCATGAGAACAACTGGTGGACAGCTCTGGCTATGCTGTCTTTAAGCCACTGAAGGATTCCTCTATGCTGGTGGAAATCTCAGGTGCTCCCTTCGGATAATTTTCCAGACAGTGCAAAAGTGATCAGAACAGTGGCTGAGGACTGACCCTGCCATTTTCTGTAGTAAGAATGTGGAACCATGAGTTTTACTTTGGTTTTTCACCATGTACAAAAATAAATATAAGGAGCTGGTTTGGGGCATACGTGTGTGTATGCGTGCATGCATGTATGCTGGGTAGGATTGCTGAGTTTGCCAAATTTCAGTATTCCATTCTTTATGTCCAATTCCTGACTCCTCCCCTGTCAGTGCAGAGGGCTTTTAACGAGGTGGATTAGCTGTAGTTTTGCATCTCATGTGCAGTGCGGCACTGTGCTCCACAGAGCCAGCTACTATACAGAATGGTACTTTGAGGCTAGCCCAAGATAAGGTGGTGACAAGACGGGAAGCTCCAACATATTGGGGACCTCTGGCCGTCCAGTCGCATGCAGGAGATGGATGGGACAAAAGAACCACAGAGTCTACTCCAGCCCTTAGGCTAGAGCTGTAGAACAGCTCCATGGTTTTGTGGGAGAAATCTTCCCACCATAGCCCTGTGGAGTTTCCTAGTGCCTGACTGATTTATTCAGGCAGTGTGAAGGAATATCAGTTATTCCCATAGAAGGGAAAATATGAATAAAATGGGTTAGATTGCAAGTTCATTGGGGCAGGGCCTCTGTTTTCTTATTTGTTCTATAATATCCTGTCTACAGTTATACATCTATATCTATCTATGTGTATAATAATGAAATGACCTGTCAGAATACAAAATACAGGGTTTTTTTTGGTGTTCTGCTGCTGGTGGCCAGAGAACTATGAAAAATGAAGGAGAAAAAATAATGATAAATATTGCACAAGTATTTTTTTCATGTGCATCCCAAATTGCAATGCAATATTTTCTACAAAGGATCATAAAAATCTCCCACGCTTCCATAAAATGTTGAACGTGTTTGAAAAAAATACCGATACCCATTGTACAGCAGAAACATAATTAAGAGAAAAATGCTAATAGCCTTTATACCCAGGGTGACTTTAGGGGGTTAAGATTGCATATGAGTTTATGTCTGGATTTCAGTCCTAAATTTAGGACTGAATCCAAACAAAGAAACCTCATAAAAAGTGGTGAATAATACAAGAAATCTTTTTCCAGTAAAATATCTTTGTCTTTGGGAATGTAACTGTCATTAATTTGCAACAGCACATACTGGCACCTTTAAATTAGTATTTTCCAGAATAACAGCCTAGCTCAAGAAATATAATGAGAAAGCTATTTCTTGAATGCATTTATTGAAATCCAGGCCTGAAACCAAACCAAACTGCTCAGCAATGAATGTTTGGATTGAATTCATATTGCATAGACTTACAGTCTTTGGAAGGGCTGGGTATATTTTTCTAAACTATTCACCTAGCACCTGTTGTGTTTGAAATTAATAACTGGCTTTGAAATGTCCATACTACTGTGATTTCATTCAACTAATTAGCACACAAATTTTTAGTGGTTTTCCCTCTACCCCTCCAATATATCTGCAGTAAGGGTGAAAGTGACACAGGTGTGGATAGCAAATGCAAAGCCTCCGTGGTGATGGGAATAGTATGGGCTGAGCAGCCACAAAGAGGTGCCCTGACACCTTGCTAAAGGCTCTTCACACATATCCTAAATAGGCCGGTGCTGTGGGGTGGGGACAGACTGGGGAACGACTACATTTAATGAGATTCAATGGTCGAAACCTCTCATGTAGAACGTGGAGCTGCTGTTCCTGCCCATATGATAGAACAGTGGCTATGGACCAGCTGTTTTACCGCTCTGCAGCTTGGCATGATGCACTCCATCCCCCACAATTGCTGGGGCGTTCCTGAAACAAAGCCTAAGTACTTGAGTTATGTATGTGTATCTCTGGGAATTACCGAGAACAAATACCAGCGGTATAAAATCAATATACGCCTCCCATAATTCAATGCTTTCTATCATCCTTTATTGGGATATTAAATGATATTACATGATAAAATGTTAAAATCTGTTGTTTCATCTGATTTTATAAAAATAATATGAAGAGCATTGATTTAAAAAAATTGCTCTCCCTTCCCCGGCTCATGCTTATGTTCAGATATGTTCCCCAGGGTGCCTTATACATGGTTTAAACGGTACATTTTTTCCTTTAAGTCTCCATTCCCCAGTGTTTGATATGAATAGAAGACACGTGGCACAGGACTCAAAAACCTGTCCAAAATAGTAAAAGCAGAGGGGTAGAGCTGTAATTTTGGGTAGCCACTGCCTGCCAGATACTTCATCCCACTTCATCCCATCCCATTCACATGCATGCAAATCTTAACCCCAAGGATTAAGAAATACCTATTCCCTTATTTACAGATCAGACTGCAGAGATTCTTAATCCCTTATTCTAACAATTGTACTTTCATTCATTGACATGCATGATTAATACTACAGAGCAAGACAGAATAAGCAAAGATCTTTCATAGATTTTTATTCCTCCCAACCCTGGGAGGAATAGGAAAGGGCTTTATGTCACCATTTCTCTTAGTCATCCGTATATTTTGTCTGTTAAACAACTGCAACATATCCCAAGTAATTTAGAAACAAGAGGGTTGTCATTAGGCTGCATACCATGACTACTTACAATTTTGTGGCAATATCAGGGATGGAATTCAGATCCTCCTGTTCACAGGTGCCTATCACTTGAGCTAAAGGAGAAACCACCAGAATTGTCAAATGCTGTAAGGCCTTTGAGGCACATCTAGCATGACTCCATCTAGTAGAGGGCAGTGCTACCCAAACACAAGAGCCAGTTCATTACAGTATGAATTTCTTCAAAGTCTGGGAAAAGTCCCCAGTCTGTTTATATTGGAATATAGTATGAATGGAATAATGGCAATGAAAGTATTAAAAATGAATCTGCAGTCAAACTCATAACAGACAGCCTGTGTCCTCGAACGTGCTAATATACCAACAAGGGCCCGATCTTCATTTAGAGCTTCTCTGTAGCCATCTAGGGCGTTTGATAGCAATAGGTTTCTAATTCAATTCCTGTTGTCTGTCACCGTCTTTTGTCCTCACTGGAGTTGTAGGGATCAAATATATGGTTGTTTATCATAGCATTGCTTGTCATTATAATTTATTATTAAAATAGTTACAACTACTAGATCAGAGAGCTGAAGCATGCGCTCGGTCATATCCACCTTAACAAAAATCATGACTCTTCCCCTGCCACTGCCTTCCATACATGACTGATAGGGCTTTGAGTTAATATCAGGTCAAACACAGCTTTTCTTTGTGTCCCAATGTGATGGACAGAGGGCCCGGAGTGGAGCCAGGAAGCAAGACAATCCAATTGCCCAGGGACACCTCACTCCAAAATGAAGCTAGAGGAAACTATTGTTTTCCAATCTGCAGAGCAGTATTGCTATCAGAAACAGAAGCTGGAAAAAAAATGTGGAAAAGAGGAGTATCCTCAATTGGTGTAAATTGACTTGTTTTCACAGATTTGGCTCATGGAACCTTGGCCTACTCACACTCATGACTTCGATGAAAGGGGTCTCAGCTGTGAGGTAGTTTAGGGCATTCTTTGACAACCCCTCCATTGTTCACGTAGTTTATGAATGTAGGTATTCCTCTCAGGCGTTGGAGAGCTGTTTGAAATGTGCTGTTATGTATGCTTTTTGTAACCTTTACAATGGATTATAGCTGTCTAGTATCCTTCTATTTATTTGTCTGGCCTTTTCTTTAGTATAAAATTGCTTAATAGGCATAATACTTCGAAAATATGCAAAGCTGTGCTAGTCAATGTATTTCTTTAGCTTTCTAGATGACCTTGTTTTAAAATCAGAAAGCCTGGCTGGTTTGGGTGATTAATTAGCAATTGCCCTACATCTCTCAGTCACTGGTTCATGTCCATTCCATGACAGGAGCATTCAGGAATATCTACAAATGTCCGTACTATGCAATGGCTGTTCTGGGATCGGAGTTGGTGGTGTCAGTCTAGTTTCCAGTGGATTTGTCTGCATTGCAGGCAGTGATAATTAACATCCTTGCTGGCAGTCTCCGCAGAGAGGTAAGGGCTTGAATCAGCATAGAGGTGCTCCCCTCTAGGTCAAGTTTAAGGACCACTGGCATGACAGCATGGAGCAACGTGCACAACCCCTGTTCTGTTGCTAATAGGATCACTGCCCCAGGGGTCTCAAATAGGCAAGTACCTTTAATATGCACTAAATCTACTTTTTAAAAAAGCCCCCTGTTAGAATGCTGTTTAATTATTATGGTATTTTCTCCCTTTGTCATTTTTATATTCTTTAGGGGAAATGATCCAGAAGGTTAGGGGGTAGAGTAATAATTTTTGTGGAGTTGCCCCCTGGTAGGTAGCAGGAAAGATATTTCCAGCTGCCCTAGAGGTCAGGAAATACAATGTCCTAAAGGTGATATTTAACCCCTGTATTTACACACATACTGGCACACATACCTTTCTCTGAAATATCTTAGGAAACTGTTCTGATAATGAGGTCCTTGCTTATAGTGAGTGCAGAGAAATAATGGTATTTGAATCTTACCTAAAGACTTTTGCATGGGTTTCCTGCTCTCTCTCTCTCTTTCTCTCTCTCTCTCCCAGAGTCAGATCATCAGCAGTGAGGGATTAAAGTCTCATGCTGTAATGTTCTTCCTTCTCACTGAATGAATAACATGATTAAGGTACATGTGGAAGTGGAGTGACAGTACCAAGTTCCATAGGTACAAACCCCCTCAGGGGTTGTGCTGCAATATACAATGATTTATTCTGCAGCTATTTGCATGCAACAAATGCCTGCTAACATTTCTGAACATTTCTCTGGAATGCTGTACAATTGCCTTGATGGACAAGGCAACAGAAGACTGTCCTGTGAGTGGAGGGTAGCAGATTGGCTTTCCTCCACGATACAGATATCTTAAGGCAGGCACAGAAGTAGACAGTGAGTAGCTCATTCCATAAGTACAATGTGCCCAATGCACGATAATGGTGTGTCCACTGATGGCCTACATATGGCTCTAATCTATGGGCCACAACATGGTAAAATCAGTCAGCTGTGCACACGGTATTACAAAGTGTAAAGTTAGAGCTCAGCCAGTAAAGGTTCAATTGTGCCCTACAGGTTGGGGGCCGTACAGGGCCTCACCCCCCACGGGGAGACCGCCTCTCAGAGCTCCCTCTTGTGTGTGGGAGTAACTTGCAACATCTACAACAACACCCATCTCTTTTAGGTACTTATATGGCCCCCATTACCATAGTATCTGAGCACATTACAAGCTTTAATGCATGTAGCCTCTCAACCCCCTGGGCAGGGAAGTGCTATAATCCCCATTTTACAGATTGGGAACTGACACTCAGAAAGGCTCAGGGCTTGTCTATACAGGACACTAAGAAAAACTGCTCCAAATTAATTAAAGGTGTGAATTTAAAGTGGACTAGTTAAACTGCATTGAGTCCCTGTGTCGATGCTCTCATTCAGAATTAAAGTGGCCTTAATTTGATTGATCTTAAATCACTTCCAGTTGTGAATAAGAGGAAGAGTAGGGAACTGAAGCTCAATTTCCAAGTCCCAGGCTTGCTCTCTAGCCACTAGACCAGCCTCCCCATCCCTACATGGTCAGCCAGTTCTGATAGTTGACAGCTACCACAGGTCCGGCCATGACTCCATCTATTCCCACACCTTTTCTAGTCAGTTGCAGCCCTTGTGTTCCCTCAGTAGCAGGATGACAGACTATACTACACAGTGGAGACACAAGGTGGGTGAGGTATATCTTTTATTGGGCCATCTTTTGTTGGTGAGAGAGACAAATGTTCGAGCTTACACATGGCTCTTCTTCAGAGACCAATACAGCTACAACAATACTGCTTATACTACATTGTGACTTTTCTTTTAAAGGAAAGAGAGAACAAAGTTGGTACCAACTCCTGTGACTTGTTACATGATCTTTCCCATTATTCTGTATTTATTTTTGCTTTTGAGCTTGTGGATTTTTTATTTCTGAGCATGATTTTTTTAAGTGGTAGATTTCAGGAAAATGGAACAAACTAAAACTGAAAACTAACAATAAAAAAATCAGGGTTTCCCTACAAACAGAAAGAAAGAGAGAAAGGGTTCAAGCAGCATATTTTTCTATATGCTAATATGCTAATTCCTAGCCTCCGCACAATAGGTCTGTTAGTTCTGCAATTCTGTCAGTGGGTGTGGCTCGTCTCCTGCCATCTCCCCACAAAAACTGCACAGACTCCTCTGGTTGTGCCTCTACTGTGTCTTTTTATTTTGTGTTTACTCCACCAATTTCACAACAGTCCGTGTGCAACAGCCTAATTTACAATATTCAACTAGCTTCTGGCCCTCTCACCAGGGCCTGAGGGTAACAGAGGACTCCCTGTTCTAAGCCTCCATCTGGCTAGGCTCAGTTAGCCCTGTTCCTCCCTCTCCTTCCTTCCCCCTGCACTTCCCTCCTGTGTAGCCTCTTATCAGACCAGGGCTGATGGGGGTAATTGGTTCAGCTGGGCAGCCTCATTCCCTGTCAGCTTCCTACTGGGGAACTAATTACTATTAGAGTGATCAGAGGGCAGGCTCACCTGTTTACACCCTGTGACACCCTTCCTAAAATTAACATAGAGATAGGATATCAGCACACAGTGCAATGCCCACAGACCCCAGTGATCAGGGTTGAACCTGGGACCTCTGAAGCTTAGTGTATGAGCCTCTACTGCATGAGCTAAAAGCCACATGCCTCCTAGCCAAGGCTGTAGCAGAATCATCAATCTCTAGGTGCCACTAGAGGGGGACAGAGCACCACACCCAGTAGGCATGGGTTACACCAGGATCATGAGTAATAACACTGTGAGTTCTAATTGATGGCACTATGAAAATGGATCCTATCTTAAAAGAAAACTTTGAGAACCCAATTCTGCAAGGTGCTCAGATTTTCCTGTGAGGTGCTGATGGCTCTCGCATCCCATTAACTGCAGTACTTTCATTCCACTGCAAGAGGTTTTCTGCACAATGCAGGCTTGGGACATGAAAGGATAAATGCCAGATAATTCTGTCTCTGGAGATGTGGGTTCAAATCTGTGTTTAGGTAAAAACCTGTGTATAATTTAGATTTCAAAATAACATGCTTGAAGCCTGGCTCTAATATATGCTTAATTGCTTTGATATGTAAAAATATATGCTTAATTGCTTTATGTGCAGTAAGTAATTTCAATATACAAATGATGGGCCAAATTAAACTCTCACATGTATTCTCTGCCCTCACTGACTTTGTCTCAGCATAGAATGTGTGACTCTTACCTATTTTTCTTCTACTATGTGTGAAAGGCCACGTAGCTGCCAACAGAATTGTTCTAGTTTATCGGCTACATAATACAGTCTGTGTTTAAAATAATGTATCAATAAGTGTTTAACCAATTGCCCAACTAGGTACAGAAGAAGAACTTTTAAAAAAACTGCCTACATATGTAATTGCCAGTGAGACTGTCAAGGAGTGTTTTGGTCTCTTGTGTAAATATATATTTTTAAATCTGTCAAAAAGTTTGGAGACAGAAGCTTGGTCTGATCTCTTGGGTAAATACAATGCATTTTAGAACTAAACATGAAAGATATTCTACAAACTATTTTAAAGGTGAAGCTTGAATGTACTAACAAGAGGTGGCAAGAATCAGGAAGGCCTGAATCATCGTTTTTAGTGATCAAAATGCTGTGACTATGGTTTAAATTCCTTTGCTCAGTGTTATCCTTTCACTTGTTCTGAAATGGGAACTGCAAGCACTTGAATAAGTGATCTGAAATATTGTTTAGTAGCTTCTCTAAGTGCACCACCATGCTATACTGGAAAGCTGTTTTGTAACTTCTGCCAGCAACACTCCTCTGCGAACCACAATACTCCCTGCTACACAACCTATAGCAACAATACACTGTGTGGGCATGGGGGAAAAAAAGCCACTTTAGAGGTCATGGAAGAGGGGATGGATAAGCATAAGTAAGTTGGTACTTGAGTACAGAGTTCCACATATCACACTATTTATCCTATTTGATATTCGTTATTTATATTCATGCACATCGCTACTGCATAAGATTTTTTAACCTCTATAAGAAAGGTGAATTGATTTGCTTCTTCCTTTGATTTGATTGTTACACTGTTACTCTCGTTCTTCTGACACATTGCCTAGTAAAACAGTTTCTTATTTAAAACCCACTTCTCTCTTTGAGTTTTTTGGTCTCTGTTACAGACTGACTGGAAAGAGCTGAACATACACAACTTCAGTTTCCCAGGAAGGCAGCTGTCTGAGCTTTTCTTACCTTCATTTGGGAACTAATTCAATATTCAAAGCTTTAACTCAACATTTAATTTGCTAATTTTGTTCTGTCCTCTTAGAAACTAGACATGAAGGTTTTCATTAACATTTACAAAAATTAAAAGGCAATTTTGAAGTGAAAGAAGTTTTCAATTATTAAGCTTGTTTGGAATTTTAGACTCTTTAAACACAGACATATTTAATCCAACAGTAATAATAAATAAACAAGTTCAGCAACAGAAACAAAACGCTGACAGCAAAATGAGACTAACAATTGAAAGGCTGATGAAAAATTCAACAGGGAAAGCACAGGAGGTAGCAAGTGCAACCAGCCTGTGCTTTAGGGGAGTGGCTGTTGGTGGGTATTTTCCTTCCTCCACCCTCTGCACTCTGAACAAACAGGTCTCCCACTTTCTCCCCCAAGGCAGTTTTGCATTTCTTCCCCATGTGATGCCTCTCATGTGCTTCCCCACAGAGGAGACACCCACTCTTCTCCTTCTACTAAAGGGTCTTATATGCTCCCCAGTTACAACAGTACTGTGCTCCTCTATAATCTTTAATTTATTTATCTTCCCAACACCCCTGTGAAAAGGGAAGTGCTATTATCCTTATCTGAGAAATGATGAACTGAGAGACTAAATCATTTGCTAAGGTCACAGGAAAGCTGTCATTGGGCAATGAATTGAACCTGTCTCCCAAATCCCAAGTGGGTGCCCTAACCCCTGGACTATCCTTCCCCGTCAGTCACTAGACCTCCCAAGTTAATTTTACCCAAACTTTATGTCCTAAGGCAGTCATCGCTGACATGGATTTCCTCTCAGGATACCAAGACACACAGCCTTCCCCATGCACTCATTCCCCAAGAGTCCATACTTCCTTCATGCACACCTGAGCCCCTCCTACTGTATCTCCCTGGGCATATGCCCACCCCCCACAATACATGAACCTTTCCAGGGACACCCACCTCGCCCTCCCTCCCTGGGTCTTTTGCACTCATGGGCATTCTTGAGCCCTAGCCTGGGTTAAGCAATCACGGAATGAGTTGCTAACTACTTTCCCCTCCCTGTTTAAACTAAGTCAAGCAATGAACATTCTAATTATTGAATTGTTTTCTAGCAGTAGGATAAACCAGAAGGTCCATATTAGTGTCTGCATGGAATCTCATTGATCAAACGCTGCAGATGTCTACTGTTATCCCTTCTGGGGTACACCTTCATAGGAGTCATTGGTGTTACAGTTCTGGAGTTTCTTGTGGAGAGAGAGCATCTACATCATCTTCCTTGTCTATTGGTTGGAGACTGCATGTGACCTCTAAGCACATGGAAAAGTGATGTATTTCCTGTAACAGAATG